TGCACTATTTATATACGTCACAGCGGAAATGGACGACACGCCATTTCTTTAAATGAAATAAACTACTGCTATATGTATGTATGTACATACATATGTATGTTTATACTAACAGGTCAATTCTGCACGTTACAGAAGATTTTGTAACCGGAAAAATTTATTACCAAAAAATGTTACCAGTTCTTGTCACCGCGATTCTAGGAACGTTGGTAATGCAGTTAAAATATTCAGCAATTCAGCTATGAAGAATTGTGCAAATTCTGGCATTGCATATTTCACGGGGCAATACTTTGTTACCAGCTTATGAGATGGTAACCAAATTTACCGGTTACAAGAGTACACAGAATGCGAAAAGGGTTTAAAAATTTACAGGAACTTTATTTACCGGTTACAGTATTCTGTTCTCTTTCACTGCAAGTTGAATTATTTTAATATCTATTGCCAAATTTTGTACAGACAAGACTAAAAAGTAGAAAATTAATAAAATAAAATAAAAACCTTTTAATATACAACGCTTTTATAAATGGACTAAAAAGTAGAAAATAATATTTCTCAGTCCCACAGAATTTGTTTTGAGAACTTTTGATTTTGAAATTTTAGCAAAAGTCATTATAAACAATTAACGACATTAAAAATGAAAAGCGTGGGGCGCATGTAATACACTTGAATTGATATGAAAAGTAACATATGTATGTATGTGGGCATATGAATAACGACCGCTTAAACTCGATCTCAAATTTGTACTTTCGCTGTAGAATGTTATGTAGTTTGACTATTGTCAATGAAATCGAATGCTTTGTACTGCATGCGCTCCACGTTTTTCGTTTTCAATGTCATTAATTGTTAATAATGACGTTTGCTAAAATTTCAAAATCAAAAGTTATCAAAACAAATTCTGTGGTACTGAGAAATATTATTTTCTACTTTTTAGTCCATTTATAAAAGCGTTGTATATTAAAAAGTTTCTTTTTATTTTATTAATTTACGTTTTGAAATCAAGTTCTAAGTAAGTTTTTTGATCGAGTTTAAAGTAGGTTGTGTTGAATGCACTGTCAAACAATTTGCGATTCATAATTCAAGTGTTTGTCAAGGAAAATATATAGTAGAACTCATCTGCTTTTAATAAAATTGTGTTATATATTAAATTGTGTGAGTGCTTTATCTATATTATGAGTTGATATTAAGCAGTATTGGTCTTGTCCCGCCTGTGACAAAAAAAGCTAAAAGTTGTTATATTTAATTACAGAAGTTGGGGTTATGTTTTGTATTTGTTACATAATGTTAAAAAATTCTTTGCAAATATTTACCACATTTGCATTGTCGTTTCCACGGAGTTAGATAAGAATAATTCAACAGAGAAGCATGTCCCACCCGTGACAGCTACAGTATCGGTCATATCTATAGCACGCCATTTCAAAGTGATTTGTGTGCAACTTATGTTTATATATTGATTTTTAAGAATTTTAAATTAAAATACAGTTCTTTCTCTGACAAACCCCAAATAAACGAAAGTTTAAAAATTTGTAGAAAACTTCAAAAAAGTGCAAACAATTTTCACCTAAATATCAAACTTTTTTCTCAGAAGTCTTTGAATTTTTCTGAATACACAGTTTTATAGCCCAATCGATTTTAGTCTGATAATGTGCAAGTTTCAAGTGACTGAAAGTTACCGTTGATTTTTTAGAATTTTTTTTCTCCAAAGGTGTTGCGGTTTTCATCCATATACAAATAAATTTAGTTTATTCATCATATGGAAGCCAATGCGAAAAAAAAAATTTCTAAAAAATTAACGGTAATTCGTAGTTACTTGAAATTTGCACATTATGAGACTAAAATTGCAGTGGCTAAAAAACTGTGTACTCGAAAAAATTCTAAAACTTCCGAGAAAAAAGTTTGAAACTTAGGTGAAAATTTGTTGCACTTTTTTGAAGTTTTCTACAAACTGTTAAACTTGGGTTTATATGGGGTTTGTTAGAGAAAGAACTGTATTTTAATCGAAAATTCTTAAAAATAAATAAATAAACATAAGTGGCACACAATATCATTTTGAAATGGCGTGCTATAGATATGACCGATACTGTATGCGTGGGACAGTTGTCAGAAGTAGGTTTACAGGGCGCATAAGCTTTATTTGTTTGTCGAGGTTGACGCAGGGGAGGAGGGGGATGCGCGGACTCTTCCATTATCTATGTAAATACCCTTGTGGTCAGCTGATTAATTAAGTTACATTTTGACCAGTTTTGGTTCTTATTTTGTTAATCTAATGTTTATATTTTTTTTTAGAAGTCTAGCACATTACCTAACCAGGACCACATAAATCCACATTTCAAACTTCTTACAAAAATTATAAAAATTCAACAAGCTTTAACAATTACACCCAAAAATTTTAAACTTTGTATTCAGAATTTTTAGGTATGCAATTTTGTAGTCCATTAAATTTATGTAGGTAAAAGTGAAAATATCAAGACGCTAGGAAATCGCGTTCATTTTTAAAAATTTTTTTGGCTGACGGTGCTAAGCATTTTCTTATATATAAAAGGCATCATCCTAAGATAAAACGTGAGTGAATTTAAACCCTACTTGGCTTCTTATATTTTTTAATAACTAATCTTTATATATGGACCACACTAAAAGGTCCTTTTCATATACAAAATTCGTACGTGTCCTACCCGTGACAAACGATGTCCCACGCGTGACAGAGGAATTTCGGATATTTTGTATAATAAAGCCATTATTTTTTGTAGTTTTTGCTTTGTTTGTGTTCCTGGTTCTTTGTTTTATTATAAGCAGGCATGGGTAGAGAACGAGCACATGCTCAAAGAGCGTAAACATCGCGTGTACGTATACAAGCAAGAGCGTAACGATGAGAACGCGGCAGCATGCAAAATGATCCCTGCAGGGAAACCGCGGACTAGTGAATAAAATTTCTAGTTCCGTACTAGGTCTTTATCGCCAAAAAGGAACTAGGCGGATAGGAACTAGATCCCCACCAGTCCAAAATCGGCGAAAAGTGGTACTTTGAAAACACTAATTTTTTTCAGTTTTTTTCACTAGAAATCTATATCTAAAGTGACGAATTTAGAAATGGTTCGGAACTATAGAAAAAGGGATGCAGAACGAACTAGATCTTATTTGTCGAATTTAGAACTAGGTCGGAACTATGGAATAAGGGATGCAGCGGGGGGCTTGTTTACTTTACATAGATATGTGTTCGGCGGCTTTTTCGTTCAAATACGCTTCTATTCTGCGCTTCGCAGATGCTTTTTCATAGCTAGGTAATACAAAACTAAAATTTGTGTTAACATTTCAACATCTTGGGACCGTCTGGAATCTAAGAAATAACAGCGAGCACCTCTGCAAACTCAGCTACAGCTAAAGGTAGGTTAGGTTAGGTTAGGTTGATGTGGCTGCCAATGACCCCACTAGCACACATAGGCCCTAGGTTGTGGGCCCGTTGTGATACCACGCGGATCGTTAGAACCCTCCTACTCAAACCATCGTGTGGATTTTGCGAAACCCAGAAGTTGCCGTATGCCTACTTCGGCTATGTCGGTTAGGTCCTCAAAGAATCCTGAACCCATGAACTTTTGTCTTCTTCTACAAAGTGCGGGGCAATCGCATAACAAGTGCCGCAAGGTTTCTGGCTCTTCTTCATTTCTGCAGCTTCTGCAGAAGTCGTTATGGGGGATCCCTAACCTCTCCGCGTGCCCCCCGATAGCAACATGGCCTGTTAGCAGACCCACAGCTGCGGCTAGGTCTCCTTTGCTCAGCATGAGGAGATCCTTCGACCGCTTTTTGTCCCATTTAGGCCATGTAAGCTTCGTGTTGTTGCAAGTGGTGAGGCTATCCCACCTGTCCCTTGCTAGTTTAAGAGACAGATCCCTTAGAATGAGCTTGCAGGTAGCGAGCGGCATGCCTAATCCCTTCCAGGCCTGCGAAAGTGGAGCGGATGTGCCCTCTCTTGCAAGTTCGTCCGCCTTTTCGTTGCCTGGTATGTTCCGGTGCCCCGGAACCCATACCAAGTGAAGTGCAGACTGCTCAGCCATCTCGTTTAGAGATCTGCGACAGTCCGCTACGGTTTTTGAACTGCATGTGACCGAGTCGAGCGCTTTGAGTGCGGCCTGACTGTCTGAATAGATGAAGATATCGTTATAAATGACTTCTCTTGTACGTAGGTGTTCAACCGCTTCCTGTATGGCAGCGACTTCTGCTTGAAAGACGCTGCAGTGGTTGGGTAAGCGAAAACATATTTCCAGCCCCAGTCGGGCTGAGAAGACCCCCCCCTCCTATCTTGCCGTCTAGCTTAGAGCCATCGGTGTAGAGGTGGAGTGATCCATTGTCATCGGGAGCCCCTCCTGACCAGAATTTTCTATCTGGAATGGAAATCCTATACCTCTTTGTGAAGTTCAACCTTGGTGCACAGTAATCCGTGTCCGGTATATTTACGTTCTTTAAGATTGCGGTGTGGCCTTCCTGAGTGTCTCTCCAACCTGGTAGTTCCCTCAACCTCAAGGCGGCACACCCCGCTGATTGCTTTCCAACAATTTCAATTGGCAAAATATTGAGGAGCACGCACATAGCCTCCAATGGAGTTGTGCGCAGGGCCCCACAGATGCAGAGCATCGCAGTTCTTTGCACCTTTTGGAGTGCTTCAGTTGTAGATTTCCTGTTGAGACTTGGCCACCATACCAAGACCCCATATAATAGAATCGGCCTAACAACTACCGTGTATAACCAATACATGATGCTAGGGGACAGCCCCCAGCTACGCCCAATCGCCCCCTTGCAGCTGTAGAGGGCTACCGTCGCTTTTTTAACACGCTCTTGTATATTTTGCGCCCAGTTAAGCTTTTTGTCCAGGACTACGCCTAGATATTTTGCAGACTCCCCTAGCTTCAGAATCTTATTGCCTATGGCAGGGAGCTGAAGTGAGGGGATTTTGTACTTCCTGGTAAAGAGCACCAGGTCCGTTTTTTCTGGGTTAACACCCAGACCTTTCTCCTTGGTCCATCTTTCGATTAACCTTAGTCTGTCCTGCATAATGTCACAAAGAGTTTGTGGAAATTTTCCACTCACAACCACCGCAAGGTCGTCAGCATACGCTATGACCTTGGAGCCTCCCCCCCTTCCAGGGTCTGCAATAATTCATTAATCGCCATGACCCATAGAAGGGGGGATAGGACCCCACCCTGCGGGGTTCCCCTGCAAACGTATCTGTCCAGCGACACGCCCGCCAGTTCCGCCCGCACGACCCTGCCAACTAGCAGCTGTCGTATAAGCGACACCAGCCGTGAGTCGATGTCCAGACCAGTTAGAGCTGATGTGATTGCTTCAGGTGTGATGTTGTTGAAAGCACCCTCAATGTCTAAGAATGCTATCAAGGTGTATTCCTTTATCGCAAGGGATTTCTCAATATGCGATATAGGCATGCTGCGAAGCCATAAGCTTGTCTGCAACCGATTCCCTAAGAAAGGATTCAATCAGTCGCTCCATTATCTTGAGCTGGAAAGATGATAGACTGATAGGTCAAAAATCCTTGGCGCTAGTATGGGATGTTCTTCCCGCTTTAGGAATGAAGACAACCTTTGACCTTTGCCAGGTCTCCGGAATGTAGTTGAGAGTGAGGACTCCCTTAAAAATAGCATACAGCCATTTTTAGCTTAGCTCCATAGATTGCTGCAGCTGAATCGGTGTAACACCATCTGGACCCGCAGATTTGTAAGGCTTGAAGGATCCTATTGCCCACATTAGTTTTTCTTTGGTGATAAGATCTACAGTAACCGGTTGACCTCTATCTCTTATTGGCCCGTTCAATGGCTGCTCGGTGGCGCCTGGAAAGTGCGTGCTCAGAAGATGGTCCAGGGATTCCTCCCCAGTTTCCGTCCACGCTCCGTCGGATCTTAGGAAGCATCCCGGGGCGATACGAGGTGAACTAGAGAGAACCTTCCTGAGCCTAGAACCTTCTGATACGGATTCCATACCACTGCAAAAGTTCCTCCATGAGGATCTCTTGCTCTTCCTTAGTAGTTTCTTGTAATCTTTCAAGTTTAACTTATAGATTTCCCATTGCATATCGCCTCCCGAGGATTTTGCGAGATTGAAGGCTCTACGACAATTTTTGCGGGCCTCGTCAATCTCTGTACTCCACCAAGGTGGTTTCTTTTTGCCTCTCGGCTTTACCATGGGGCAGGCCTGATCCAGAGCCTTGCCACATGCCGCAGTAAAGCGATTTGCCAGCCTATCTAGGTCCCTAGAGTTTCCTGGAATTGCTAGTGTGGTTCTTGAGAGCCGCTTGTCAAGCTCTTTTCTGTACTTATGCCAGTCGGCTTTCCTTAGATTTCTTTTGGCAGGTACCTTGGACGGGACCCCATCTAAGTCGAATTGGATGAAGCGATGATCAGAGAAGGAATGCTCATCAAGCACCCTCCAGTTCCTGATCATGACCTCCGCATCTTCTGAGACGAGGGTAACATCCAGGACCTCTCTTCTGCTCTTCGTTATGAAGGTAGGCTCGCTACCCCTATTGCTTATAACTAAGTTAGATTTTAGTATGAATTCAAAGAGTGACTCACCCCGTTCATTGATGTCTCCGCTTCCCCATGTGCTATGGTGTGCATTCGCATCACCTCCTAGAATCAGGGCCCCGTCCCAGCGCTCCACTAAATGTTCGACCGGTAGGGTTGGAACAGGCCTGTCATGTGCCAGATACATCGAGGCAAGCCTTATTTGTCGTCCGTTCGCCTCCAGACTGATGGTGGTGGTGTCCTCGTCACTGAACTGAGGAAGAAACAACATTTTTAGTTTGGTACTTACAAGGATGCAGGCCCTTGGTTTACCTATGGTAGCTCCACTTATCAAAGTGTGCTCTGCCGACTTCAGCCCGCATATTCTATGCCCTATCACCCAAGGCTCCTGGATGAGGGCGATGTCTGCTGCCCCTTTGGGGAGCTGGAGCAGCAGTGCAGCCGACGCTGCTTTGCTGTGGTGGAGATTAATCTGGAGGACGCGAACCATCTTGGCCGCACCTTGCCACCCCCTCCACCACTGTTGAGTTCGCCTCGTCGTCATCTGACATCATCTGTGTATTGCCGGAAGATATAGTCGACTCCCAGAGAGAATGTAGATGAGGCGTATCCACCAGCCAGGTCATCCATCGGATTGGCCTGATTGGATTCCTCGTCCACCTCATCCTCGCTGTTGTCTGCTTCCGGCTCAACTTCGTTGCCTCTTGCTGCGTTCACGTCGTTCGTGTACACCCTTATCTTTACGGTGTCGAAACCGTAATTGATGACGCCCCCAGTCTTTTCGAGGAGTGGCAACGACTCCTTATTTAGCAAAAGGACCGCCTGACGAGTCGCCTTTGTGCTATGCTCTAGCCGCACCACCTTCCAATTGTGAGAGGGTAACTCGGGATTAAAGAGCCTTATAATCTCAAGCACTCTCTCTGGTTCGGTCGGTTTGGCCGGTATCCATGCCCTTGCTCTAGGCCTGGATGGGATGTCCTTGATGTCCGCAGACCTTTCATCGTCGCACGCGACGACCTTGACGTTGCCTTGGAACCAACCTGCGTCCCGGCATATCGAAAGTGGTCCGGGGTGCTCCCGAAGCACGCTAACGCAGATGTTCGCCAATTCCGCTTTAACCCATTTCCAATGAGCTCTCAGTGCCAATTCGTCTTCCTGGTTCTCATCGAGCACACCCAGGAGGATCCGATTTTTGGCTACCTCAGCAAAGGAGGGGCCTTGCGTCCTGGCTCTCTTCGACTTGTTTTGCGTAACATCCATCGATCTATTGCGCTTTTCCGCAGCTGGTGGCTCTCCGAGCACCGGCAGCTGATAGTCGGGCACTATCGTCATTGCCCACGCTATCTCCGACCGGATCTCTTCCACGTGACAGGGCAGCGCCCTGCTACATAGGCCCGGGGTTAATGCGGATCTCTTCAAGATCCTCATGGCAGCCTTCCTGTGCTTAGCAATGGCTGCGCTTGGTGGTGGCCTGTCATCAGGCCTTGTGAATGCAGTAGGAGTAGGGGGGAGGCGGGGCCCGCGCATCAGCTCTGGCGCCCCCTGGGGCTGCAAGCCGCAAGCCAGGTTTGCCTTCACTGGTGCCGGGAAAATCCCGTTTCGGTTCCCCCACCCTCTTCCTTTCCGCTTTTGTGGATACGCCTGACCCCGGCATCGCCAGAGGCTTACGTACCCCACTAGTGTTGGCCACGTCGTGGCTAGTAAAGGGACCCTGCATCGCATGGGCCCCATGGTGTCTGGGCAACTGCCCTTCCGACTTTTTATGAGTGCCGGTCTCAATTTCCGTTGTTGTTGTTTTTAGTTTACTTTTTTAAATCGCTCATATTCGTCGGCCCCGGGCAGAGATCCGCAGTACCCAGGGTAAGGCCATCGAATGCAACCGGGTGCGGCCTGGTTCCCAGAGGGCTCCGTTAGCGACTGGGCTATTTAGGGGCTCCCAGCCAGGCTAATCCTCAGTACGGTACGCGTAACGCCTTGATCCAGCCCCTACCTCCAGACCACGATCAAAGACCATTTCCGTATGGCATAGCGATGAAAACGCATAAGCACACAGCACTGATCCCTGATCTTAGCTGGACACCCTCCCGACATCGCACGGGATTGCTCTGTAGTGCCCATTTCCAGCCGGCACCCTCGCGGAGGGTTCAGTCCGAGGATTTTCGCCGACCACAGCTAAAGGTATGTAAACGTACATTTCTTACAATCATTCCCTGCAGAGAAACCGCGGACTTAGTGAATCAATTTTCTAGTTCCGTACTAGGTCTTTATCGCCAACAAGGAACTAGTCCGATAGGAACTAGATCCCCACCAGTCCAAAATCGGCAAAAAGTGGTACATTTAAAAAACTAATTTTTTTAAGTTTTTTTCACTAGAAATCTATATCTAAAGGGATGAATTTAGAAATGGTTCGGAACTATAGAAAAAGGGATGCAGAACGAACTAGATCCTATTTGTCGAATTTAGAACTATTTCGGAACTATCGAATAAGGGATGCAGCGGGGGGCTTGTTTACTTTACATAGATATGTGTTCGGCTTTTTCGTTCAAATACGCTTCTATTCTGCGCTTCGCAGATGCTTTTTCATAGCCTGGTAATACAAAACTAAAATTTGTGTTAACATTTCAACATCTTGGGACCGTATGGAATCTAAGAAATAACAGCGAGCACCTCTGAAAACTCAGCTACAGCTAAAGGTATGTAAACGTACATTTCTTACAATCATTCAAACAAATTTAATTTCAAATTGAAAACACATTTCTTCCAAAATAATTTAAAATCGCACACACGGAAGAACCAAAAAGATTGAAAAATCATGATATTTTTTCTTTCGTCTGTCGATTTTAGAACTGGTTCGGAACTATAGAATTTAGGACTAGTTCGGAACTATCGAAAAACGGATGCAGCGGGCGGCAATTGACACTTCCTAGGTCATCGCCATGTTAAATTCGCCAGTTGCTTGCATGCAAAAGGGATTTATCGCGAACCAGTACTGGGTCTAAATGTACTAGAAGCGCACCAGTTCAGAACTAGAGATTTTCCCCACAGGGGAATTAGGCACACTAACACATTCTCACTTCTAGCGAACGCTTGTTTGTGGTAGTGCCTACCTCTGATTATAAGAGATCAGGTTCACACAGAAAAGTGAAATAAATTCTTTTTTTCGTCCCACCCGTGACAGAAGAAATAAATCACATTCTTTCCATATAAACTGGCATTTTTTTCGTATTTTGTAATAACTCATATAATAGTCAATTAGGCGTAGCTTTATCAAAATGTAGAATTGTTGAGAACCTTATACTTAAATTTAAACAAGAAAGACAATTTTTTCTGTACAAACGTCCAACTCGTGATGGTGGAGTCGCCCTACTATTTAATAAATAATAAAAAATTACATATTTTTACATACATTTTTTATTAATTTAATTAAAATTTACCATTTTTCAAATTTTGATTAAAAAAAGTTGTTTTTCTGGAATGCCGCAGGGCACCCTGTGTTTAATATTATTCTAATTTTTTTTTCCTGTGGTTCTCTACTATCTATATGGAAATAAAAAATTTCAAACCAACATTTTATTTCAAAGAATGTATTTTTGACAATTGTTTCCGTGAAGAGCATACGCATGGCTATGCTCTTATTAAAATTCTTAGTATAAAATTTGTCGACTTACGTGGCTTCCTGGCGGCATATAATTTATTTTATATGGAAATTTCTGTTTAATTCTTTTCAGTGGATAAATTATAATAGATTGGCGCTTACACATATGTTAGTGTTTGGCCGAGCTTCTCCTCCGACTTGTGGCGTGCGCCTTGATGTTGTCACACAAAGCGGAGGGACCTACAGTTTTACGCCGTCTCCGAACGGCGATTATATTTTTATGAGAAGCTGTTTTTCATGGCAAAAATGCACTCGGAGGTTTGCCATTGCCTGCCGAGGGACAACCGCTGTTAAGAAAAAACCTTTTTTCTAAATTTTTGCGATGTTGCTTTCACCAGGGTTTGAACCCAGGTGCTGCGGAGTGGAAGAGCGCACTGCTTACCACTACACCACAGCGGCAGTGGATAAATTACCTTTACAAAAATACCAAACACTTCCACATTGCGGACAACGAATTTTTCGATTTTTGCTCACTTAGGCGGCACTGTGCGTCGGTTACTTTATTACTATGGCTCGGAATCTCATGCAAATGCACGTTTTTATTGGGCATCTTAAAATGAAAACGGTTAAGTTATCTTTACGAATTATGAAAATAGCATTAAATCGTTAGTGCATGTTTTTGCATATTTTGCTGCGAATGCATGGTTTTGCATATTTTCCAAAAAAATGACTGTTTTTGCTTATTAATTGCGCATATTTAAGTATATTTTATAATACATATATGCAAATAGTTTTTGCATATTTTTGCATTTTTTTTTTGATTTGCAACCATTTAAATTTAGTGCGAAATCTCTTGACAAAAAAAAACCTATTATTTTTTCCAAATATCCATCGGAATATCCTCTCGGATAGCCAAGCAGCCATTAAGGCACTTCCTTATACCTCTGTTAGACCTCAACCAGCAGCCGGATTCCAGCTTTCGCTATCGCTAAAACTCCATTGCCAAAAAATGCAAAATGAATTTTTGCAATTTTTGGGGATCTTTGCGATTCTATCTTAAAAAAGCATCTCTAAAAATCACTATTTTTGGTTCATTTTTTTTGGTGGATTTCAGCGATGAACAAAATTAACCCGGATAAAGTGAGTGAACACTTTTTGACAGCTCATCAGCTAAAATGGCGATTCCAGCGTCTTTTCCTTCGTTACAAATCTGCATTGTTGGCTTAAAATTCTGTGAATTTGGCGAGAAAAAGTTGGTGCTAAAAAAATAACGCAACAAAAAAGGTAATACTTATATTGTTTTTTGTAAAAAAATAATCTTTTATATAAAATAAATTGTTTAATTAATAGCAAAATATGGAAAACTGCAATAGCAAAAGAGTGACGATGGATCAAAAATATATCCTCGTTCAATATTTGGAGGAGCATAGAGAATTTGCTCACGACAGGTATGCAAAACATTTTCCCGTAAATGATTTTTTGTTTAAGTTTTTTTTTTTTAAGATTCGTCAATGGCACCGGGAGCAAAAGCATCAGTCTCTTTTATTTCTAAACCGCACTAGAAGACAAACTCTAACTTGCGCAACCTAGTTGAGAACTGGCATCTAACCGTGGTTGCGCACATTTGCCATTACAATCTACTGAGGAGGATGGTTCCGTGCGCAGAAGTGGAAAACTTTTGACTGCCATTCACCTGGGAGTGGCCAGAAGCGATTCTTGTGCGTACGGTTCAAATCGCAGCTCACAATGTCCGGGTATTTATATCCACGTATCCTCTGGGTAGCAACCAAACACCCGTTTGAGAGCGAGC